TCCAGTGCATTTCCCACCCCCTACTGTTTTTGATCCCACTCCCCACTCCACCCCCACAAAAAGTCTCCGGTATGTGGCTGTTCATTATTACTATTATTTTCTCACCTGCTCCGTTATACTCCTGCTATGAAACCATGGGGTATTTTTCCTTTTCTTTCTGGCTTATTTCACTAAGCATGAACTTTTCCAGCTCCATCCATGTTGCTGCAAAGGCATGTGTTTATTTTTTTTGGTTGCTGAGTAATATTCCATTGTGTATATGTACCACATCTTTTTAACCCAGTCATCTACTTTTGGGCATCTGGGTTGATTCCATGTTTTTCCTATTGTAAATAAAGCAGCAATAAACATGGGGGGGCAGGTGTCTTTTTGAATCTGTTTTTGTGTCTTTTGGGTAGGTACCTAAGAGTGGGATTGCTGGGTCATATGGAAGCTCCATTTTTAGCAGTTTGAGGAACCTCCAAACAGTTTTCCATAGTGGTTGTACTAGTTTGCATTCCCACCAGCAGTGCAGGAGAGTTCCTTTTTGGGAGCCGCATTTTAACTAAGCCGGGTAACTCTGATGGGGCTAGCAGGCCAGGACGCATGCTGGAAGATGATACAGCTTGCCCAGGCTGGGGGGGCGGCGGGGACAGGGGGGGCAGGCAAGGGCCTGGACTGGAACTGGAAGCCTTGACCATTACTTCTGAGAAGAAACATGGTTGGGGGGGGGAGCAGGGGGGCAAGAGGATTTCAAGGTTCTCTAATCCAGCAGAAAAGCCACCCCAATGCAGATGAGCTCATGCTTTCCTTTCTGGCCCCGTGAAACCTGCCCCATGGAGGGGTCGCTGGGAGGAAGAAATGAGGCCACCGGCAAGGCCTGTCGGCTTACATGGCTGGGGCAGCTGTCCTTTATCAATAGGGCAAAGCGTCACTCCGGGTCTGAGGCCATCTCCACTGCGTAGCACTTACTAAGACAACATTTCAAACAAAAATAAGAGGTTCCCTTGGATGTCCTATAACTGAAGGCAAGTGACCACTGAGAAGCTCAGCGTCCTTACCAGCAATGCGAGGGAAGAGGAGCCCAGGGTGTTTGGGAGGAGAAGCTGGAGGCCACCTGGCCCCTCCTAAAATAAAAGCTCCCTCAGGCATCTGCAGAGCGTGTGTGCCAACTTGTCTGGGTTTTGATTGATGGGGAAATGTTTTCTTGACTGGCAAATATTTGTGTTCCAAAGTTGGCGAGGCTTCCCTTCCTGATTTTCACAGCCTGGAAAAGAGCAAAGAAAAAGCTGGAGCGAAAGCCAAGGTTCAGAGAGGCCACGGCACTGAGCAGGAGAGCTGGCAGAGCCCGGGCACCGCGGCACCTGAGCCCCGGTGCCCTGATCTGAAAAGCCAGAGGGTTGCTGCTCCCCAGACTGTGCAGCTTCACCCGTTGCAAAGTGGGGGTGCCCTGGAGTCCTGCACTGGAGGCACACAGGGCCACACGAAGGGCTTTCATGTCCCTTCACTGAAAGCATGATTCTCAACAGCTCAGAAAGGTGCAGGCCACCCCCATGCCTGCCCACGGATGGAGAAACGGAAGGTAGCACAGCATGCGTGCTGGAATAGTATTCAGCCACGAACACGGATGAAGCACGCTACTTCATGGATGAGCCCTGAAAATCCGTCATAGGAAAGAAGCGGGCACAGAACCCGCACGCGCTTCCTTTCTGCACACTGTCGAAGTGTCCGGAAGGGGCAAGTCTGTAAAGACAGAACAGGTTAGAAATGCTGTCTTAGTGAGTGCTACGCGGTGAGATGGCCTCAGGCCCGGAGTGACGCTCTGCCCTCCAGATGAAGGTCAGCTGTCCGGGCCACGTGAGCCCACCGGCCTTGGCTTCCCTCCTTCCCAGCGACCCCTCCACGGGGCAGGTTTCCCGGGGCCAGAAAGGAAAGTATTGGCTGGGGCGGGGGGTGTGCCTAGTAACCACTTCCATGGGCGTGGGGCTTGGGGGTGAAGGAAACACTGAAACCCCAGAATGGTGGTGGGAAGTAAACGGGCAGCCGCGAACGGCACGCTGTACACGGTAGTGAGGGTCCCTCAGCAAAGCTGTGCGCTCCCCAGGCTGTGTGCTCG